TGTGTGTGGCCTGGCATGGCCAGGTGGTTAAGGCACTCGACTCGCAATCTGAGGGTCGTGGGTTCGAATCCCTGTCACACCAAATATGCTCGCACTTTCACAAGACTAGAGGGAAGGCAGCTAGTCATCACCATCCACCGCCAACTCTTGGGCTACTCTTTTACCAACGAATAGTGGGATTGACCGTCACATTATAACTCACCACGCTAGTCTGCTAAATTAGGGACGGCTAGCGCAGATAGCCCTCGTGTAGCTTTGCGCGAAATTCAAAAACAAACAAACTTTTTTTTTATAACCCCTGGCGGAATTTACGTACGTGGAATGTTTACTTTTCTTTTTTTTTTTGCATGCTTCAGAGACTTGAATTTAAATCTAGTACACAGATCCACAGATACCACTGGCGCAGATGCGCACACACGGAAGAAACGGCGTACAACTGTTATGGAGGAGACTAATTGTGTTATGGAAGCGGGTCAATAATAGCCAACATTTTTCTTATGAAAGGAAACATCAAAAATTCATAATAACCATATATTCACACACTGATTGAACATTTGATATCCCCATAAAAGAAAGATGTATAACTTTAGAACAAAAATGCACCAGAGACGTGTACTTCACTATTGTTTTATCACTGGGAAAGTGTTGCGTGACATCATGCGAGCGTGGGAACAGTTCACGTGCCAATTTGTAGCATTATCAGGTTTTTAAAGAAATAAGGCGTACACCAGAGAACCCTATATTCGTAAGTGACGTTTCACGTATAATTATCGCTTTAGTGGTTCACAAAAAAGTAACTAATTGTGCCTTTTCTTTCTAGTTTGTCCCGGTGCCAACTTGTCTCGAAGTTACATTTCTCGTTCGTTTCTAAAGATAATAATCATTAATATTTAAACAATGTTTCATTGAATAACATACGAGTTATGAGGCTTCTTCCAAATTATCTTCTTTTAATACTGTTTCTACTAGGCTGTCTATTATGATGTGATATATATATTTTGCACTAATGAGGCGTACCTAAATTATAGTACAGTTTAGTAATCACCTCTGTTTGTTCAGGTGCATTTGTTGGATAAAAACTTTGTGTCAAGTAAAACGATTTGTCTACCTGAAGTACTGGGTGGTTCCAGTAATTTCTGATTTTGTGATAATTGGATGGAACATTTGACGCAAACTCGTGACATTAAATGT